AGATTTTGTAGGATATAAAAGCACAGCATGACTTAGTCTGTCAGACAACATGAGTTTATTGAGTAAGTATCAAATATACATAGATCCAATTTCATTTAAAGAAGTCTCTGAACTCATACTGACCAAATACTGCAGTTGTATTTTTGTGAGCAAAGTAAAAGGAGCAAAGTAACCGTTGTGGTGCGTGTGTAAATGTGAAAAAGCTATATTCTCATTTTAAGTTGTAAAATGGAACTCTAGAAACTATATTCTCTTAAAACAAATTTGATTAAGATAGGTGGAATGGAAAGAAGGCAGGTTGTAAACAGAAATCATTTCTAAATTAGCATAAAGAACTAAATAGAAACACAACAGACTAGGTGAATCACACTTGTGGAAAAAAAACATGTTTTTGTCTATGTGTAACACACATTTTGGTGGAATATATATATCTATATGTTGTTAAAATATATGAAAACATCTAACAAAGTTTCAGGTAGAACTTTTTCTGTGTCAAACCAGCATGTAAAAAAAGTAAAAGAGTTGATCTTAATTGGGTTAGTCATGAAAATGTTACTTCACTTCAGCAACTTGAATCCGTGTGACAATAAGGAAGGAAAGGGACAAGAATTCAAACAACTCATAGAGTAATCAGTTGCAACTGATAGCATCTCATTTAAAATTTGATATCAAGCACTAGATCAATACTTCTGAGATCAATGCAATTCTGATGGTTTTGAAACTGTAGGAAAGCCAAAAAGTGTGACATTTTGTTATTTTTAGATCTGGGATGATACTAAGTAATATAGTGAGAGAAAGCAAAAGCACAAATCAAAACAAAACCTACCAGATCAACACCACTGCAACAAACCACCCATATTTCTACAGTTGGGAAATACTGATTATCTAAGTGTCCAGAGAAGGTGTGAACATTTGTTGGAGGGGGAAAAAGTCACTTATTTATACTTTTCTTAAAAAGAAAATAATTATGTAGAGGTATATGAATATCAATTGGATCAGAGATACCATCTTCAGATACAGAAGGATTAGGTGGCACCTCAGTTAAAAGAAACAAAAATGACAAAAAGTAAAAATGTAGGTTTTTCAGGTATTAGTCAGTCCCTTCCTGTGTGCAATTCAGTGAGAAATAACAGACATTTCTGTGATCCAGGAAGAGCAGAAATCTGAGAATTCTATCTAAAACTCATAGCAAGGACCCACAAAGGTCAAATAGAGAAGAAAAAAGTAATTAGGTTCACGTTTTATCTATTATTTTCCTTTTGGAGTTTATATTGTTAAAATAAAAGGAAAATTAATCTAACTCAGAAGCACATAGTTGCCCACTCTATAAATCTTTAATAGTACAATACAAGAATTTTCTTTAGTTTTTCAGTCTTTACTGCTTTGGTCAGATATCTGCTTTAACTCATTTGCTCTACAACTCTTTTTGATAAAAATGCTAACTATGGACTTACTTGTTTTTACAGATTTAATTTTGAGGAATGTTCACCTAGAGGAATGCAAGATCTTCAGTCCAAACAGCAACTTCCAGGGAAGTAGATGAGAGGGGCAGTGTGGCAGAAGGATAGCTGGGTGGATATCTCAGTAAGGACAATAAGGAGGAGAGATGTGGCAATTTTGGAAGATGGTTAAGTTTTGAGAAAAAAAGAAGCTAAGATCCTCCATTTGCATGTAACTTCTATTAAAAACTTTAGAGAATTTTCCCTCCAGGTAACAGGAACACTTTAGGAAACCCCTGATGACTGACGTAAAGATCTCATCCTTCTTCAAGACAGAGAATAAAATTTAAAAATGATGTAACCTTACACCCTTCCCCCATGATTTCATTTCTTCTGTTTCTTGGTGAAGTGCTTCCATTTTTCCCCATTTTATTAACCAAAAAATCTGCCAATATATTATTATAACTAGCTCACTTGAAAGAAAAGGTTTTACACACTTTTTAAGTGAAAGCCAGACATAAGTCTTATTTCAGAAGAATTATTCACGTACTAGCATGTTCCTTCAGAGTCTAGGTAAAGACATGCTTTCCCAGATTTTAATAACTCCATAAATACAGTTACTCTCTGCATGTGCCTCTGTATTCTATTGTATTTCAACCCTGGCAGATTGCCTACACACTGAAGACACCATCAGCTTAATCCAAATTTCTTTAATGAAATAAATCCAATCTTACAAATACCCATCACATATAAACAAAATTTACAGATGCAAGTGAATTTAAGACATTTGACAATATTCATGACTTATGGAAATTAAAACATAAAAATTCTCATTCAAAATTAAGTTTATAAACAATACTGGTGACCAAAAGATATTGAGCACCAACTATGTAAGCTATACTCACTGAAAAGATATACGCATACTAGATGGTGTCCATTTTGGGTGAAATGGGCACATGTACCCCAGTGACATAAACATAAATGTATATATACATATGTATTCACACATCTATGCATGCATACATACATTTTCCTATTAAGTCTTTAAAAAAACCCTGAGTTTATTTCAAAGAAGAAAATAAACTTTATATTCAATTGTAGTTTATTTGAACTTCATTTTGGCTAGCATAATTTGACCAATTATATTTTTAGCATGATGGACACAGTACTTAGAATTGAAAAGTTTAGTGTTCCAAAAATGCTACTCTTCCTTCCTAAACCACTTTGAAGTAATGCTAGCGAGTCTAAGATCCAGATCTACATGTTAATCTCTAGTTTTGCCTTCAAACAGAATTCAGTTACAAAGAACTTGGAAAGATTTTGAATCTATTCAAGAGAGGAAAACTCTTTACTTTTCTGAGGAGTAAAAACTCCCCAAGAAACTTCATATAGCTTCTTAGATTTTGCTTAGCATACGTGATAAAACATTGATTGTTGCAGTTTGGTGACCCATGAAATTTGGGGGTTAGTTTTCTCTTCAGACCAGAGCATATAATTATGCAAATAAAGAGCTGTCATTGATCTAGTGAAATACTCACACAAACACATGCACTCTGAAATTGGACAGAAAAGTGAAAATGGTTGGTGATGTGATGGTGCCATGGTTTGTTTTCCTGCCAAGTTTCTATCCAAGTTCATTATTCAAATTGTAAACTTTAAAAAGAGACATATCATTCTTGGGGTGTTGGTTGTCTTTTCATTTCAAATTCTTTGTATTGCTATTACAGGCTGGCTACAAAGTACAGTTCAACATTATTTTACCTATGACAATCTCTGATATGAGCGAGTGTAATATCGTTGGAAGTAAAAAGCTGAATGATTTTGAAAAATGCAGGGTCTCAAGATTTCTTTCTAGAACCATGTTTCATGTCCTTTTCAAATAGAACCCAATTCCTAAACCACAAAGAATATAATGAAAGGTGTGCCACAAATCTCAAGGCAAAGGACTTAGAAAAGTTTCATGGAGGCCTCTTGGATTCAGCCAAATGTCGATTTTTCATGTTTCTTCCCAACCCCTGCCTCCAAGGGAGAAATGCTGGTTGCTGTATGGTATCTACTTAATGGTCCAACCTTCAGGATGACTTTGTTCTATTGAGCAATTAAAGTTCACTTTTAATATTTGGCGATTTTAACCTTCGGTTTCATTTACAATTGGCACTCCACAAAACCCTTTGTGGTAACAACTAGTAAGAGCTCTTCCATCGAGCCATGGTCTTTGGCGTTGAGGTCTTCCAGTTCCAGAGTTGCCATTGCACAGACTGTTGCATAATATTAGATGTCACGGAGAGTCCCACTGATGAAATCTGAGAAGGCTCATGTCAGACCACTGGCTGCTAAGGACATCACTACATGAAAGATCAGTGGCGTGAAACTTAAAAAACATCGATCCAAATGAATCAATTAAATCAACATTCATCCCTCCTAAGTGTGAGATTTAGAACTATCATTGTTGCTTTTTTTTTCACCCTACATAGATTTGGAGATAAACGCTGGAATGCTTTGATGGCCACTTCTATTCTCGAATCTCCGTTAATCGACTTTGTGCTATTTCCCTCTTTTCAACATCTTCCACTTGGTGTACATTCTTTACTTTTAGTACAGTGCATGACAGTTGCAATGCTTTAAATCTAAACCCCCTTCACAAAGCTGACGCGTTAGGTAGGGTGGCTTTAAGCTCTGTGAAGTGTTGATTAAAAACCCTTTCCCAGACTCAAACTGATCTTTTTGGAGATTAATAGAATATTAGATAAAAGGAAGACGAACAATTCAAGAGACTCCCACTCAGTCACACTATACAAGGAAGGAAGGAAGGAAAGTATTCAATTTTTGAAAGGGAGTACCTCCTGGTGTCTTTTATTTTATATTATTACAGCCCTAATAAGTAATCATAAAATAAGCACCACCATTATCCCTTTATTTGCCACCCATATTTCAAAGTTGGGAATGTCTCATTTATTTTTTTATTCATTCCTCCGTTTCCCCTCCTCCTCCCACTCCACAGTGGCAAGGGGAAAGACTCTGAGAAATTTTTAGACTATTTTGTTAATAGTCATCTTTCTTAAATAATCAGGATTACAGACTCTACACCAGAAGAATCACTTCAGTTTACAGCTGCAAACCCTGGTTAGAATAGGACACACATGCATGTTTGGGTCAGAACTCCAAATGATAAAAATAAATAAATAAATAAAATTAAAAAACCTTATTAGCACTGATAACAAGTTAATATGATGTTGCCCGCATGCTTTCAAACAAGTCATAGGTATTACATAGAAGGGAAAAATGTAAAAGAAGTGTAAACAAAGTACTTTCAAATAGGATACATCAAAAATTATATAACAATTTGGGAGCAATTTAATACCTCTAGAGTCCTCTTGGTAAGAACATTGTTTATGATAAGGTGCAGTGTATAAAACAACTGTTTGACTATGTGTTCAAAATTTTTTGTGTTGATATTACGGATATTTTAAAGACAGTTTTTAAAAATATAACTTTTCGAAAGGGCCAAGCCAAATCGTGACTCAACTGAAGATCAGGTTATTATATTATAGCAACAGTAATGAATATCTACAAGGTTTAAAATATTGATGAATGCTGCTCCATCATTCTTTTCAATATTTCTACTTTATTAAGCTCAGTAGAGTTGATGACAAATGAACTTCCAAGCAAGAATGATACACCAATGCTTGTTGGGAAAAGTGTTTTTTATTTTATTTTAAAGTGGTAAACAAAAATATGTAATATAGGAAAACTCCTGTGCTTTACTTTTTTATTTTTTGGTATTGACAATAATGTAATCCAGATCAAAGCACAAGGCAAAAATGTGAGAAAAGAACAGTTATTACAAGTAGATCCCTCCCTTCGAATACCCATAAAAACTTTCAAGGATTGCAGGGTTAGGCATTTTTAGAAAGCTCCAAAGCCAATATTTGACTTACAAGTTTTAACAAGACTATTTTAAATCTTCGATAGAACAACTCTTCGCTATCACTAAGCACTGATCAGTAAACATTCAGTATGTAATTAAAAACAGGGGGGGAAAAGCTTACATCCTAAGCTTAAACCTCTATGGCCCCTAAAAACCTGTCTAAAGGAAACAAGACAGGGAGAAGATCAGAGCAGAAATATTGTTAACACTTGTCCCCTCCAAGCAGGAGGGCTACTCCCAACTGTTTGTTGTTATATCAGGAAAATTGAGGTGAATGATATTATTACATTTATACCAACAGCCCCATAATCAACAGGTTAAAAATCCCACTATACAAAGAATCTTATCAGTTATCAGTAGGAGGTCTTGAATGATTTGCCTAGATCTCTCCGGGTTGCTATCCTTCAGATCCACAAGTAGAAATTACATTTACACAACTTAAGTTTGCAAATAGCTCTCTATAGATAGTTAAACAAGGCCTAAAACAAGGTGGATGCAAAAGTATTAGAGGCAATTAAACAGTGAATCACTTAAGCTACAAATAAAGTTTTTTTTTTTAAGTGAGAATTGGAGAAGGAATAGGAGTGATTTCGTTTGATAGCTGAGCATATTTACTTTGCTCTAATTTAGTTGCAGAAGCTTCGTAAATTTTCCAACATCGTGCAAATGATTTTAAAAATGCAATTAAATTAGTTTTCTGCATTTTTTAGATTCTGAAAACAGCTATAGTTTAGTATAATTTGAAGTATATTCTTTCCACATCAATTCTCAAATTCTCTTAAAGGAAGAAGGTACCATTATTTTACATAGTTCACTACATCTAAAATAGAAAAAATTGGAGACCAAAGCGTGCTTTAAACATTGTTGGGTGGGGGGGAGTGAGTATACATTTTAAGTCATCCAGGAGCTTGATAAAATGATGTTTTGATTTTCCCTCTTGTGTTGTTTCTGTTAAAATAACATCGAAAGATATGCATATAGAATCACTGAAAAAAGAATCACATTCATTTGCCATCATTCAAACGAAAAGAATTAATTGTACTTGTATACCAAAACACAGAAAAGAATTATCAATTTTAAAACTTCTTGTAATCAGTTCACAATATAAAAGCATTTATCCATGAGGTGGTTAGTTTTTTTTTTTTTTTTTGAGGAATCAGACAGACTTAAGTCATTTTGGATACATTTTTATCACGTCCTCAAATAAGGCAGGCATGTTAATTGTTGCATACACTTTAAAAAAGATTGAAAAAATATTAAATTCAGATCCTCATCTATTAGAAACAATCTTCACTAAGTAATTATATTCAAGTAATTAAAAATTGATAGCTAATATTTAATATTGAATGGAAAAAGTCAGAAAAACCTTATTTTACCTCATATTTCACAGTGTTGATCAGATCTGAGCTGGATTTAAAAGTTGAAACAGTAGGGCAAACCCTACAAAGGAAGTGGACTACTATAAATGATACTGTTGGATTGAGAGGAGAAAAATCTTTCACACCAGGTATTTGCTTTTCTGTTGGGGCAGAAGAGGAAAAGAACCATTTCAGCCCCCCTCATGGCCCTAGTTTTTCACAAGGAACATGAACTATGCAGTGAACTATGCAATTTAGTACGCAAGTTCATTTTCCTGGTGACAAAACCAAGTTCTATCCCCAGAAGGTTTTAAGTTCATGAAAGTTCAGGATAGATGATGATTCTAGTTAGGATCCACACAAACTTTCTCCACTTTAAGACTGAACTGGCCAAAATGAAGCATGAAATCTCAACCACAACGCTACTCAACGGACATTCTAGATTTTAAAAAACAAAGTCAATTCTAAGGATACAGTTGGAAATTTCTTCAAAAATGAGACGTTCACACATGTACCTAAACAGATTGGCTCATCGTTTGGTTTTGGTTACAACCACCTCTCCGGAAAGGAGAGTCAAAGTGAACAGGCAGGGTTGCTTTGCTTTATTTTATTTTATTTTTTTGGAAGAGGCAACGTTTAAGAGTCAGGACTTGAGCGGTTTTTATGCAAAGTTGTTCGGGGGTCTCGGAATAAAACACAGATAAATCCGGGAGAGACTACAATTTGCACTCCCAAACTATCTAGTAGATCATGGCATTCATGTTCTGAATTTAAATCTGGCTTTGCTTGATAGAGGGGGGGGAGGGCCCGCTGGGTTTAAATCAAAAAAAAAAAAAAGAAAAAAAGAGAGAGGCATAAGATGCCAACGGGCAAAAGCCGACCTCAAAATGCAAGAATGCAAGTTTGAAGAGTCAGAAGAGTTCGCTTCTGTGCGGAGAGGCAGTAAAAGGGCCAGGATTAAGGGGTGGGGTGGGTGGGGGGGAGGAGGGCGGAGTGGGGCGGGCGGTAGGACTGCGCAGGCGCCGCGCGGGCTCGGCCGGGGCAATTAGAGCGGCGCGGGCCGCGCGGGGCCGGGCGCTGTCAGCCCTCATCTGCGCGCTGACGGACGGACGGACGGACGGACGGACGGGCGGGCGGGCTGGGCAGCGCGGAGCAGCCGGGCTGGGCCCGCGGGAAGCCCGGCCCGGCCGCCGGCGGACCCAGATTGCTTTGACAGTTGCACTCATCTAGAAATAATGCAAAACGCTATTTAGATGTACACCGCACGACCCCCGTGCTCGGAGAGGAAAACAATCTAATGAGGGGCTGGGAGGCGGCGCGCGCGCGCTCTCGGAGGCGGGTGGGTGCAGGCTCTCGGGGTGGTGGTGGGGGTGGGGGGGGGGGGGTGCTCCGGGGCGTCCCCTCCCCCGCCGCGCTCGCGCTCGCCCGCGCTCCGCTTACAGCTCCTCGTGCTTGATGCGGTAGGAGCGCCGCGTCAGCGCCGGCTTCAGGGCGCCGCTCTTGGCCTCCGAGGCTTCGCTGAAGAATTTGAAGATCGACGGGAAGCTCTTCCACGACGTGAGCTCGTGGCGGTCGGTCCCTGCGGAGACAGACAGACAAGCGGGGGTGGGCGGCGGGGGCGGGGGCGGAGGCGGGGCGGGGGGGGGAGGGAGCAAGGAAAGGGGCTCGGTTAGGAGGCGGCAGGTGGGGGGCGGGGGAGCCGCGACGGCCCGGCCCGGCCCAGCCCGGCCCAGCCCAGCCCAGCCGAGGCACAGGTGCAGCCGGGGCTCCCCGCCGCCGCCCCCCGCCCGCCCCCTCGCGGGCGCCCGTGTCCCCGCGTTGGCGGCGGCGGCGGCGGCGGGCCGGCCTCCCGGCCTCCCCCCTCCATCCCGTGCGCGTCCACCTGCCGGTTCGCGCGGGCCGCGGCCCCCGGGCGATTGCAGACGGACGCCCACCCGGGAGCCCGCCCCGCGCCCCAACCCACCCCGGGGCCGCCACCCCCCCCCCCCCCCCCTGCGCCGCTCTTCTCGCCCCGCCCCCCCGCCCGTGCCGGCCAATCCCGGCGCTCGGCCGCGCGGCCCCGCCCCCTCTCCCCGGGCGCCGCGCTGGGTTTCCCCCGCCGCCCCGCGCGCCTTCCGCACCCTCCCGCAGCGCTCGCGCGTCCCCTGGGCTCCCCCGGAGGACAAAAAAAAAAAAAAAAAACAAAAAAAAAAAACCAGCGGGAATTTTTTGCCTCCCCTGGGGAAGCACTGCACTTAGACCGCATTGCCTCCACGAGGTCACCGCTGCCGAATTATTCAGGACGCTTAATGAGGGTCCACATTCTCTAAGCGAGAGGATGCCTCGGAGAGCACTGGGCAGCCGCATCCTTTAACACTGTAGGGGCCCGTTGGGGAATTAAAAAAACAAGAAAATGTTTTCGAGCCGTGACTACTAAACTAGCACCTCGGGTTGGGTCAGGAGGAATTCAGTGTGGCATATGGAGCCTTCGTTATCAAGTTACAGGGTTATTTAACTTAAGCGCAGCTTCTTTCTGTGGCTTCGATTTCATCTGAATGCATAGTATTTTTTTTTTTTATCAGATGAACCATCCATGCAATACAGGCTGGAAATAACAATGACGTAGACATGCAAACAGAGGAGGAAATTAATATATTTTTACTCCTGAGATGGGTTGTGTATCATTTTGCAGGTAGCTTCACCACTTTACGATTTTTAATTAAAAAATGAGAAGGTACTGAGGCTCTCACACAAATGAGAGTATAGCTTTGAAACAGCTGAAATATCCTAGTAGATCATTCAATTATGCAAAGAGATACTGCCTGGAAGTCTTCAGATTCGGGGGCGGGGGGGGGGCCTCAGTCTGATACTTTAACATTGTTAATGATAATTCTTTAGTCTGTAATAGTAGGTCATTGCTATGGTTACTCTACAATGGTGCAACACTTTGCTTTCCCCTTCAGCTATTCGCTGAGACCTGGTAACCACATTTGTTGCTTAGCAACAGTTTTGTGACAGTATCACAATCTGGGAGTTACAACAATAAGGATGCTATGGCTGCGGTTGGCCGGAGAGCAGAAAGCTATAGTCTGCGCGTATGACTTAGCTGTGGGAGCTGGCCCTCCTAGAGAACCCTTCTACACACTTCCTCACAAGCATGCCCTCTTCTCTGTTCTGCAGACCAGTCTTCTGAACCTGCATCTGGAACCAGGATCCAGTACTTAAGTCATATTCTTGAGAAAGATCACCCAACACGACTGTATTCAAACTAAAAAATAACATCATTTCTCTATTTGCTTATTCATTTGGGGCAAAATTCAATGTTATTCAACTGGAGAGTGATGACTGTAGGGCAAATCCGAAACTGCCCAACTGGCTTTGGACAAGCCCTAGTGGAATTTTTAGGGGGAAATTAAGCCCACCTACATCTCCAGAGGTGTAAAATGCCAAGCTTCTCTAATAATAAGTATCTACTGATATTTATTATTAACATTTTTACTGATTTCTTTAGATGACAAAATTAAATAATGAACCTCCTGAATATGATCCAGACACAAGCCAGCAGTTGTAGATGTGTTCAGACATACCTACCTGAAATATCTGTGAATGTAACTTAGAAAGGGACTCAGGGTCTGATAGGTTTACCCAAAGCTATGGCGTTTCAGTGATTACTAGCTGCACTTAAAATGATAATGAAAATCTATTGTACTTCTTCTTTTTGAAAGACTATTCTCAGATGTATACTGCACGGCAACAGCCACTCCTAAACACAGTAAGAAAAGAAAAAAGTGGTGCTAATTGTCTCTTTTCCTTCTCATTTCCCCTGTTTCCAGGCTCATCTCATTTGGCATTTCCTTCATGGTGATCACACTTACACTTACTAGTGTTACCAAGGCTATGATCAATTTGTAAGCTTTCTCAGGGAACTCTTCTCATAATTCCTCCCACCCCTTGAAAACCAATTCAGTCTATGAATCTAGAGGGACCTGAGGAGTCAATGGTCTGAAGCAATTTTAACTCCTTTATTTTCTTCCTTCCTGGTGACAATCTTTCTGAAGGATGAACAAATTTCCCTGGTGATAAAATCACTACAAAGGCTTTTTAGTTTTAGCTTATGATGACTCTCTGCTTGATTAGTCCTGAGCTGATGAAAAGACCAAAGTCCCTGAGTTAACTGAGAACCTACCCTGGCTCTCAACATTTACTCTTGCAATTTATGAGTATAAATAATGAGAATGTGAGGTCTGTCACAGGAAGGGAAACTGTTAGCAGTAAAGGTAATGAGCGATGTGCATTAGAATGGAATTACACAGAGTGGGATAGGGTGGGGGGGAGGGATGTCCCTAAAAGTAAGATGTGGCAACATGACTATATTACGATAGCAACATGACTATATTACAAAAACAGGTCTTTCTTTTCTAAACCTTTGAAAATATATTGTTAGTAATTTAAAAAATGGCACTTGAAAGTTAGGTCATTGCATGTCTGTCTAGCACTGCATATGCACACCTCAAGTACATAATACAGAGACCATTTTTGAATATCAGGGCCAAAATTTAATAAAAAATATAAATACCTTACTCATAAAAGAAGGAAAACTTTTGAGAGCCATTTTCTATATTTAAAAAATACACTATTGGGGCTGGAGCGACAGCAAGCGGGTAGGGCGTTTGCCTTGCACGTGGCTGACCCGGGTTCGATTCCCAGCATCCCATATGGTCCCCTGAGCTACTTCCAGGAGTAATTCCTGAGTGCAGAGCCAGGAGCAACCCCTGCGCATCACCAGGTGTAACCCAAAAAGCCAAAAAAAAAAATACACTATTGTGGCCACTGTGATAGTACAAAGGGTAGGGTGTTTGCCTTGCACGCGGCCGACCCTGGTTTGATCCCCGGCATCCTTGGTTTGATGCCCGGCCCCCTGAGCACTGCCAGAAGTAACCCCTGAGCATCACCAGGTGTGACACCCCTCCTAACACCCCCCCCCACCCAAATACACTACTGTAGGTCCAGGACATTTTTCCATCAGAAACATGGGGATATTATATTATTTAGTGACAAAAGGATACAAATGAAGACATTTTAGGCCAATAAAAAGAAAATAAAAAGTAGCATTTACTAACCAGCTGTAATGATATATAGGAAACATGGAAACTAGTCCATTTAATACTAACCAGGCTACTTGAAAGGAGATAATATAGTTCTATAACCAGGCCTGTTTTTTTTTCCCTAGCATAATCATTCTGTATAAACTTGCTTCTTTTTTAGGAAATGTGAATTTCTCTCCACTTCAAAAACATCATCTCCTAATGTATACAAGTTCCCACCTATTAAATACCTTTCATGTTCTTAAGCAATCATTTTGGTAACCTTATGGATTTGCAGATGTGTTCTTACTGGATAATTTATGTTTGGAAAAAAATCAGTTTCTTTATAATATCAGTTTATTATTATATCAACCTGCAGAAGTTATTAACTTATAATTAAAAATTATCCAGCTTCATATTGATCACTTGATCACTTGACTTCCTGTTAATCATCAGTTTGCTTGAGTGGGCACCAGTAACGTCTCCATTTGCCCCTGTCGTGTGCTAGTGTAGCCCAATGCCCAACGGCGTCTGTTCATTCTAGGAACATGAAGAGTCTCAAACCGATCATTCATGATCTTGATGAAGTCTGACTATCTGGTAGGTGGGCAGCCATGTGGTCTTTTGACATCCGTGGAATCCAGCCGGTAACGGCTCTAGTCCAGTGGTCATCTCTAAATCTCATTACGTGTCCAGCCCATCTGTTTTTTGACGTCTTGGCAAACGAGAAACCGCCTCTGATTCTTGATCGTCCACAGAGGTCGGAACTCCGGATTCTTTCACTCAGTTGAGTGAAACGTGATACTCCAAGCATAGCTCTTTCTATTCTTCTTTGGGAGACCCAAATAGCGTTCTCATCCTGTTTGCGTAGGGCCCAGGTCTCTGAGGCATATGTTAATGCAGGAAGAACAGTGGAATCAAAGAGATGTGCCTGGAGCTGGAGGTTCTTCGTCCTCTTAGCTATTTCTTGAAGGTGTTCCAAGCCACTCTCTTCCTCCTGCACAACTCAGGTGCCAGGTCATTCGTCATGCTGACTTCTCGACCTAGGCACACATAGCTGTTGCATTCGGAGATGGTCATTCCGTTGAGAGCCTCTGTGGCAGGGCAATCCCCTGTGTTCTCTCTCTTCTTTTGGGTGTTGCACACGCACCAGTTTCTTTTTTCTTTTTTTTTAATTTTTTTTTATTAGTGAAACACCATGAGGTAGACTTTTCTTTTCTCTTTTCTTTTCTTTCCTTCCTTCCTTCCTTCCTTTTTTTTTTTTTTTTGCTTTTTGGGTCACACCTGGCAATGCACAGGGGTGACTCCTGGCTCTGCACTCAGGAATTACTCCTAGTGGTGCTCAGGGACCATCTGGTATGCTGGGAATCAAACCCAGTTTGCCGCGTGCAAGGCAAACACCCTACCTGCTGTGCTATGGCTCCAGCCCCTTAATCAGAGATTTTCCATAGGGATGGGAGAAGCCTTAGGACATATTTTTGAAAAAAACTTTTTGTTTCTGAACCACAACCAGTGG